TTCTCTCTGACAGGTAGCTTTCGAAAAGAGCAAGCGGGGTCCCTCTTATTCCAACTTTTTCAAGCTTGTGCACAAGCATAGGGACAGAGATGGTATCGAATGCTTTCTTCAGATCAAGGAAAACTGACAAACATTTTTTACTGTGGTCGAGTTGTTCTGTTACAAATGCGCTTAATTCAAGAATTGCATCTTCTGTCGATCTTCCTTGTCTGAAGCCAAACTGTGTGGGTGCTAATATATCAAATTTATTTAAGTAGTTGAGTAATCTAATATTAAGTAACTTTTCTAGAATATATTGTATACAAATTCAAGACGTTTTTGTTTTAAAGTTTTATTACATTTAATTATAATATATATGGGTCCATTCTGTCCAATGATTTGTTACCGTCTTGTAGGTAGTGACATAATAAAAAATAAACGTTGCTGTAGAAATCTTGGGATTTTGATTAAAAATATGCGACAAGTAGTTTTATTTGATATATTCAATACCAGAGATTTGAAGGAACATGGATTTAGTCATCACATTTCTAATGGAAAAAAAATTGTAAATTTAAATATTAAAACCTCCAGAAAGCTTTCTTTTAAAGAACACAAGCAACAAAAGAAAATAATGAGTAAAACTTTTAAACCAGTTTTAAGTACTCGAGCAAATACTGGACTTTTAGGAATGTTAGTGTGTATTGAAAGTCTCAAACAGATAACTAATCTTGTGATCTGGCGTTATCATGATGAAAGGCCACTCCTTTTCTGATTATCAATGCCAGCCGTTTTTTTTTTCTATTACTAGCTTGTCTCATTATTTATTGGTAGTAGAGATCCGAATCGATGGTTTTATCCGGCGGTAAAAGCTCATGATAAACTTTCCCCACCATACACACAGCATCATTTTATTGCGTGTTAATCCAGGTTTCGCATTAGTCTGTAAGCAGAAAAAAATGAAGACCATACAAGAAACGTGATTTTTTTGGGTCCTTTAATATTTTACTTGTTTTATTTTTTATTTTATGTTGTTATAGCAGCAATATAAATACACATTCTGTAAAAACTCTACATATTACGATTCATAAGATACAGCCTACTGACAGACAGACGGAACGATAGTGGAAACTTGGGTCCCGTTGATACTCTTTGGGTACGGAACCCTAATAAACGGCAATTATGTCATTTGAGCAATACTACAGAAATAAACACTAAATAATATAGAATTAGGTTATATTATAATAAGTTAAACATATTATATTATAAAATATAGTAACAATAAATTCATATATAAAAATCTCAGCCACGGGGGACTTTATTTTTGCATTCGCGGCATCACTGAATAGTGTCATTGATATTTTGTGACTTATTTATGGCTCGTGTTATTTTATGTTAAAATTTCGAAATTGTATGATACTTAATGATAGTATGTGATTCCAGTGTCTTTCTTATTTCTTGTAGTATTATTTTTACACAGTTTCAATACGTAAACTGGTATTTTACTTCGAATTATGATCAAAATTTAATAAAACATTCGGTACGTTCACCTCACACGTTGCCTGCAACGAACGCGACTGGCTCGGGTACGCCGATTTCGGCGTAGTATTTGTTGCCGCATTTTACATGAGCGCCGGCGGTATCTAGTCAGAGCGCGCGATGACTTATCATTAATGTATGCAAAATAATATTTTCTTTCGACGAAAATTCCTTTGTAATAGCGAATGATTTCATCTATACAATGAATTCTATAGGTAAAATCATTTTATCCAACAAGGAAACAAATATTGATTGATTCTCAAAGTGGTCAGTAAAACAGACTATTAAATTAGTAATTAATATAATATATCTATTTATTTGATATATTTTTATTTATATTTATATTATATATTAGTACCGATCGACCGAAAAAATTACCGATTTATTATCAAATAAATTTTATTAATTTGATGGTAAATTTGTAATTTTTTAATTCTTTATTTTGACATTTAAAAGTTATATTATCCATTTTAAAGCAACGCAAACAGAGGAGGCCGAGATAATAGGAAACACTATACTGAACTAGCTTTTCCCTGCGTATATCACGCTCTGATCTCGTCTTTTCTCTATCGGTTTTCATCGAGTGGCCAGGCGTCATTCGCGCGCCAAACAGAGTGTTAAATTGATTTAATTTTACATTATCTCTTAAACTATGCGTCCAAATAACATGGTATAAAAAGCAAAGTTAATTTTCATAAAATTTTCTTGATGATGAAGTTTCTTTCGTTCGTAAGAATTATTATGCTATACCTAATAATAACCCTCTAAAATGACTTAATTTATTAATATTTTTTTTGTCACAAAGTACCATATTGTGGCTTATGTATAAGAAATAGGACTATGGTATCGCGAACTTTTTTTAGATGGAGGAAAGATCTATATTTTTGTAGAACATAGTATATCAATAACCATTCAATATCAATAACCATTACGCCAGCGCACGTGGATTAAGCTGTTCGGGAGCGCTTATTTTTCCAATTTGCTTAACAAAACTCAATTTAAATTTAAGGCTAGCTGAGAGGATGTGTAAGCATCATATTAGTCTATGCTGAGAAGTGTAGCCTAATGCTAGATAGCCTATACTATTCCTCGTTTATCTGGCTATCATATACAAAAAGAATTTATCAAATTGCACTGGTAGTTCCAGAGATTAGCGTGTTTAAACGAACGAACAACTTTTTTTGCTTTATTAAGTAATAAGTAATAGATTCTATGTCATTTTCTCCAATAGATGAATATATTTGTCTCTTTTTAGTGTCGCTTTCACACATTTCACACAACGATGCTAAAGAAGTTTTTACTAGTTATATATGGCTACCGAGACCTTACAAGCAATCACGAAGTTATCTACAATATGGCACCGCCTGCTAAGCAAATAGCAGCACGTTTTCAAAGACGTGACTCAATTCACTTACGTTACTTAGGAATATTCAAGATAGTATAAAATCCAGGGCTTAATTGTTAAGATTGCCCAGTAGTGGTTAAATTAGCTTGTAAGTTAGGTAGTTCATTATTCCTGTGTACTCATTTGATCACAGTAGTTAAGTTAACTTGTAAGTTTGAAAAAGTTATATAGGAAAAAGTATTCGTCTCCTTCCACTTCAACCCTTCCGAATCTGCCGCAAAAGTAAGTAACTTCAATAATTTCACATAAACATAGATACATTATAACACTATTGCTTTATACATATAACGTAAGATGGGCAGAATACTCGACCACTTAGCCGAGAGCTCCTATTTCATTAACAGGTAAATAGGCATATAAAACCCAAATAATTATTAACACTGGTGTGGTGTGTGGCTGGTAAACATTTTGTAGGTAACAATAGGTATATATATGTAAACAAATAATAATGAAACTTACATCAAAATGATTTTCACAACAATAAACACTACTGGTGGCTTTGAAAGGATCTGCTCTTCTTATCGCCTTCAACCACTTTTTTTTTAATTTCATCCTTTTTCGGGACATTAAGAAAGAACATTGAAGTAAAAAAACAGTTTGTCAGTTGTTTTTTTTTTTTTACTTCAATTTGTACACAGGGGTACAATGCAATACTTTCTGGCCATTTTTAATGTCTAGAAAATACACGCGCCTCGAAACGAAGCGAGTAGCGGACTGGCGGAAACAAAGAACATATATAACCCTAAACGGCGGGAAGACGATCGACTGAGAGGCGTGTCGGAGTCGGACTGTGACTTTACATCGCGGTGCGGAGCAAAGCGGTCGCCCGTACCGTAAAACACCACTATACTCATCAATATTTTAGTAATTTTTAAAAGGTAGAAAAAAATTCTTAATTTTTTATACAATTTTTTGATATCCTTAACAAAATTGAGTGGTCAGACCCATTGTATATGAATCACAAACTAGTAAGAAGTGCTAGCGCAATATGAATTGTGAAATTTTACTTTTATAAATATTATCAATATCATTTCAAATTTGTGTGACATATTTTTGCCGGTTTCTTGTACATCACCGTCACTCACAGAACAAGTAACCACTTTGGAAAACAATAATTACTTAATAAAAATAATTGCTTAATACTCTAAAAATTACAAAATATCTACGAGCTTATTTCTTGGCTGCCGAATTGTGCCGACATGTCATTCAAAATCGGTTACACTCATGAGATTTGCTATCTTTTTCTATCTTGCTATATTGCCATAAGGAATTTTTTTCTCACTTGCACACTATGTACGTCTATTACTATCCTAAGGCCGGCCACATACATACGGAATTCCGTTTCGAGATTCCGTTTCGATATTCCGATTCGGAATCCCGAACGCAGCAAGTCCATATAAAATCTATGACTCGCCACACACGTACGGTAGTTTTCCGTTCGATATTTTGCGGGCAAAACGGGATTCCGTTTGTGTGTGGCCGACCGTTCGAAATCCCGAAACGGAATCTCGAAACGGAATTCCGTAAGTATGTGGCGGGCCTATAAGGCCGGCCACATACATACGGAATTCCGTTTCGAGATTCCGTTTCGATATTCCGATTCGGAATCCCGAACGCAGCAAGTCCATATAAAATCTATGACCCGCCACACACGTACGGTAGTTTTCCGTTCGATATTTTGCGGGCAAAACGGGATTCCGTTTGTGTGTGGCCGACCGTTCGAAATTCCGAAACGGAATCTCGAAACGGAATTCCGTATGTATAGAGCGGGCCTAAGTCTATGGACTAATATGATGAAGGTATTGTTATTTGTTTCTTGGTTATTATGTAAACTACGAATCTCTCTTTTACTCTTAGGAACAAAGAATAGCACCGATATACCTACCCATAGCGATTTTGATAAAATTGCGTCGTGAGTAAAGCAAAGAGAAGAGTTTATGTATATATATGTATATAAACGTGAGTAGTGACCCTAAAGAGAATAAACAATCTATTCTAGTTTGCTTTACTACTTGTTACTATTTTATTACTATTTCTTGCAGAGTCGGTAAATTTATATTTGGATTAGAAATAAATTAAAATGGATTCAGCGTTACGTGAACAAGTTATGATAAATCAGTTTGTATTGGCAGCAGGATGCGCTCGAGAACAAGCTAAACAGTTACTTCAGGCTGCTCATTGGCAATTTGAGGTAAATTTGTGTAATACAACATGTAAACAAACAATTAAGATCATGAAATGGCTGCTTTATGTATGTTACAGTTATCTTTGAATAGAAATAATAAACGAATAGTGTACATTACTTTAGAAAACGAATGTTTATCATAATATTTGGTTAGCAAAGGACATTCTCTTGAACATCAAAAATAGATTTGCAGTTGTATTAGCTAACTAGGCGCGCAGTTTGTAAATATAATGCTGTCAATAACAAATAAAGTGTCAAAGAACAATAATAAATAGGTTTTCTTTTCAAACATAAAAATAGGTTGAAAGCAGTTTTATAAACATAATGTTTCATTTACATCTTTTAAATCCAGAATAGGTATGTAGGTCTTGTGTATAAATTGTAACCTAAAAGCTTTACGCAATAACATTTTAATGATAAATCATCATCATCAATAATTGCCTAATTTGCAATTTTATTATTCAAAATGTGATATTAGAAATATTGAAATAATGCGAAAGTTTCGTTCTGACTTTGCGTGTTTGATAAAAGTACAGGCTGTCATAACATATTTCTATTAAATTAAATTGGATATAAGATATGTATATGTAAGATATACCTGCATCATTTGACTCTTGTTTAAGCGCATCGATTTAATTGTAAAGTATTGGAAGTGTAAAAATTGTTCGGATACATTTGTAACTAGTCTCAGAATGATTATTATACAGGGGCAAACAAAATATAAACATTTTTACATTGACTTGATGGCAAAAAAAGCTATTGTAATTTAATATTACATATTTAATATTGTAAATATATATATACAATCTATGTCTCGGAAATACATCATGAGGTTAATTGTTAAAAATAACAAAAGTTCTCACGTGGTAGAGCCATGGTACATCTACATTAGTTGTATAGTTGCAGAACGAATGGGTAGGCTCGACTGGGGAAGGACCACATTCACAGAATGCCAATGTAAAAAAGCAGCTCAACGCTGTTGTGTTTCGTATGGTGAGTGTAGAGAACCGGAAACCCTTTTTACTGGAAACGAGGTATTCAATCATAGTCCACACAGGTAACAATGCATTTCTATTTTGATTCGTAATCATGGATAGTTGAAGATGTCTATGGGCCACATCAAGCACTTACCATCAGGTGGACTGTGTGCTCGTTTGTCACTATCCTTATCCTATAAAAAAAAAGTGTGCGAATGGATGTTCAACTTGCTCTCTTGCTTATACAATTAAACATTATCAGCAATAAAACAGTGTAATGCACTATACATTCAGTATAGAGCAATTACAGTTCGACCATACTGTAATATGTCCCCGTCACGGATACACAGTGGTGTAACATGAGGGATATTATTACATGATAGCACTAAAGTATGCAAACCAACAGTAACACCATCTTCCTTGCCTGCACCAGTAAAATTACTACCACGAACAGAATCACAACATTGTCTTATCTAAAATCTTAGCACTCGTACCACAACTTCACTAGTAGAATGGCTAGTCCTAGCCCGCTACAATCAATATGACGCTATGCTAGAGCGATGAAACCTCTCGCTCACTCTCGATCCAAACGGTATTTTATAGACGTGCCTACAGATTTAATGCAAAGGTTAATGCAAAGAAGGAAACAAAAATAAAAATAAACAATTTTCTTGTTTTTTTTTTAATAACTATACCTAGACAGGTTTTTTTTTTACATATATTGTTCTATCCAGTTGATCACTATTACACTGTTTATACTACTCTAATCTGCCATAAAATTTGAGAAAAAAGTAATAATTTCTTATATTTATGGGAATACTATACATTAAATAAAACTAATTTTATGAATTTCACCACTTATTTTTAATTCCGACATTAGACATGTATCATATCGTACAGGTGGTATAAATACACTGAGTCAATAAAATAAACTTCCCTTCATACTATTTTCAAGTTATGGACTGGACACTGTTGAAATGAAACTATTTAAAAGGGTTCTTATTACTTATTATAGGCTAGTGCTTGACTACAATCCCACTGGTAGTAAGTGGTCATGAAGCCGTAGATATTGTATGATTTAAATGGATTTAACTGGACTTAAATAATGTATTATGAATATTATAAGTGCAACAAAACAACTAGGACATTAATAAAGTGAATTTGACTGGAACTTGCAGCTCCAACTGCAATCATTATAGCTAGTGTACTGACTGAGAGACTTGTTATTATTTGGATTTTTTATGTTAGGTTATCGTTATTTCTAATAAATATGGAAGTATGAAAAAATAAATATTCATTAATTTTTACAGACAGCCTTATCAATATTTTTTCAAGAAGTTGCAATACCTACAGGAGCAAATGGCATTGCTGCTCAACATTATCACCAGGTCAGTGCAATATTTCATTTCATAAAACTAACATGTAATATCATTCAATACACATATTAAAATTGATATTGTTCTGGTGCTCCCAAGTTTAAAAAAATATCCATACAGGACTTATACACCTTAACACGTTCACCGCGGCATTGATTTATCTATACTTTCCATTACCGCGCTTCGAGGCGTTTTGAACCTAGTCCTAAACCAGACATTATGGCGGCACTGGACTGGGCTTATTAAACCCCGTAGCCCTTAAGAGACTAAAATCGTTTTTTTGGCGTGAAGTCAAATTAAAACATGGATTATTGTGTTTATCATTATTAACAATGAATTGATACACCTAAAACTGCCGCCGCATGTTAATTGTTTAATGTGTTAATTAGTTTAGACGTAATAACTTCTTAATAACAGAGAAGTAAAGACTTGCATATTTCCTGCTCGTACAGTTTATTTTGTCAAACTTATGGGTGTTTTTCATCAAAACAGGTCAAAAAATAAAGGTGCAGGTAAGAATGCACCCAGTGCATTCTGTGAGAATTTTGTCTATTTTTTTGTCAGCCTGACGACTTGGCAAAAAGGTATGGAGTTTTTCATAACATCCGATACATCTCCTCACCTCCTTTTCGAGATGATGTGTTTTGTTTGCTGTGGGTTCTGAAACAATAAAAGGAATATGTTGTGTAGTTTTCAAGCGTATATGTTGAAAAGTTCCTTCTACTCAACCTACTACTAGAAGATAAAGCCCTGTTTATATTGTAACTTTTGTAAGTAATAGCTGGTGCAGAAGAATAAATTGCAAAAATATGGTTCTACAGGAACGATTTACAATACATGCCTCAGTGAAATTATATAGATCATTTACCACCTAAATCATCTTCATCACTGTCTTTTAAATCTTAACTTTTTACGGCAACGTTTCGATATGTCTACGCGTGCTCAGTCTCGAATGCGATGCACAATACTGGCCGCGTGAAGCTAACGCAGGGCTTTTTATACAGTGCGGCACAAGGTTTAAGAAACCCGGTATTATAGTAAATATACAACAGAACTCGGAATCAATAGCACATTTCAAATATATATTTATCTCTTTCCTACACTGATCCAAGTGGAAATTACGCCTTCCGCACGACAGAGAAGTTTATGTTTTTCCTTGCCGCACTAAAGGCGAGACATGGACAAGGTGTTTCAGGCGCTGTTTTGCACTGGACGTGTTAAACGCTTCACTAAGCCACCTGTCTTGATGTCTCTTAATCACCAAGTTTTCTGTTATCTGATTTCAATTTGAAAGTAGAATCAAAAACATTCAAAAAATGTTACTGCCATGGCAGAAGCAAAACAAATTAAAACTTACTTGGAGTTAAGTAGAATATTTTTTTATATTAAAATAATATTATAATATATAATTATTATTAAAATGAAACAATTTGCACACAGTAAATACTTTTTTCTCGAATATAACTGGAAAAAGACCCTTCATTCTTCTTCATCTTCATGATGATTTTTATTGTGTAGATGATCATCAGTCAATTACTAACTAATTGCAGAACTTATGGCCATCTAAATACAATAATAGTTATTTATACCTTAAATTATCGTCGTAGCTGTTCTTTGATCATAATTATCAATTTATTTTTATAATTATTATCATTCTATCAACAGTCTTCTGCTTGACCTTGATGTCTTTCAGACGTTAAAAGTTTTCCTTTTATGATCACACTTGAAGATCACAGTTTCACAGAATTAGAGGCACGTTTGACGGTGCTGTCCGTCATAATATGCAAAACGGTTACACAGCGGACTGTTGTTAGCCACGTTCGATTTAAAAAAAATCTTTAGTAGACTTACGACACCCACGGAATGGAGAATGAGGTGAAGTGATTGATTCTGTTACGCCGCCATCACAAAACTTCTTTTCATAATGTAAACAAACTTATTTATATTTAAATATCAAAGTATGTGTTATTGAAAATAATAATGATATAATTTCTGTGTTTCAGCAATTAATAACGCCATGTAATACTCCCGCGACACCGCCGAATTTTCCAGATGCCTTAGCGGCATTTTCTCGTCTTTCTACAACAGGCAGCCCGAGCAACGTAGCTGGCGGGGGAGCGATTGGCATGGCGCCCCCGGTCTCCCCCCTCGCCACCCACCCGCCTCCACCACATCAATCGCAGATGCAGATCAACACATTTCAAAGCCCGCCAAATCCGCAGCCCAACTACTCACCACTCTCTTGCTCAACTGCTGTCAGTATATTTCTGCTTTCATTCTTTTTTTAAATTCTCATATATTTGGAAAGTTGTTGTAGTGTTGGTCTAATTTTTGAAAGATCACATTTTTTAAATAAATAAAATATTTCAGTTTCGGATGTTGAATATTTTGGTTACTGTATGTAGTGTTCATTAATGCAATTATGCAGTTTTTTAATAACAAAGTAGTACATAGATGCAGAGAAGATTTAGGAGTGGGCAATACGGGCTCACGTAGGGGCATCCACGGTATGGGTTTTAGTACAATTAGCTAATAAATAATAGCTTGCATATTATATGTTGTCTTTCGATTGTTTGTCAGTTTTTAATAACCAAAATAATCAAATTAGAACTAACAGTAATTTAAACCGTGGTAGCTCAGGAGCGAAGCACTCACAATAAATCTTACAGTATGCAAGCAAACTGAATACGATTCCCTTCGGCATAAATGGAACGGTTAGTTGTTTTAAGTGGTGATTTCGTAAAATCGTGAGGAAACCTGCATGTTAATTTGAGTATAAGAATATTTCGAAGGCATGTGAAGTCCACCAACACGCAGTAGGACAGCGAGGCGAACCCTTGCTGCGCTAAAAATCCCTCGCAGAAATGAGGTGAGGCCTGTGCCCAGCAGTGGAAGGTGTATTGGCTGTAACTTTACTTTTTACTGTTTGAAGTATTTTAAAAATGTTATAAATATTTCGCTTAATACAGCGGCTATCGTTACGCGATATGAAGTGATTAAGATTCGAGGTGTCAAGTTTTGGTTGGGAAAGGCCTATTTTAAACAATTATGACAAAAATGTTTATTTTTTTTCTTCTGGCATTTCTACTCTGTAACAAACAGAAATAAGAGGTATTTCGCTTTCTCAGTTTTGTATCTTTTTCCAGGTATGCAGAGAACAAATGCCAAGATAAATGGAAGAAGTTAGGTTAGGACCGTCTATAATTTATTTCTAATGGTGCGTATTGTGAGCTGTGGACTTGTGAATATTTCTTTCCATACACCCTACTGCAGCTTATGTTTGCTGGACAATATATGGGGTGCTATAGTCAATCATGTTAAACATATAATATTGTCTCTGTTTATATAGTGGTTTCTAAAACAAAATGCACTATGTATAAATAAAATGAATTGTGTTACAGTTTTTGATACCTAATCAAAATCTATATTACCTGTGATTATAATAGTTTTGGTATCATAAATATGTAGTGGTATAATTGTAATTATAATTGTATAATATAAAAAGAGGAAATCAAATATTATCTCTATTTGAGTTAAGTCATTTGTGCTATATGCCTGCCTCTCCTATTTTAACCAGTGTTTAATGACAACACCGGTTTTGGCGTCTGGGTTTTAGATGTCAAATTTTGATTTCTTAATACGTAACAAACGTAACAAATTAAATTTTTTTTAGTGGGATTAATGGATAATCCATAAGATTTACACCAGTCCAAAATACATGCCAGATCAGCTCTGGTTGTGTCAATAGCTTTCGGTAAATCATCCAGAGTAGATTGAGTGTAAATTTGGAGATCGTCGGCGTACAAGTGGTAAGAAGAAGACGGTTGATTACTTATAGAATTTGTAAAAGTTGCAAACAAAAGAGGAGACAATACGCCACCTTGTGGGAAACAGACAACAGTAGCAGTCCAAGTTCGGCGCCGACAGCGTATTCAAGTACAGGATGTGTATTCCACATCCTGTATTTGAATACGCTGTCAGCGCTCAAACAAGTAACTATGAAACCAGTCAACTACAGCCGGAGATATGTTGAGCAGTGGCGTAGCTATGTAACCAAGGGCCCCGGGGCAAAAATGAAATTGGGGCCTTATTTAACCGGTTCAGTGCGGGTGACACGCGTGTCGTGTCTTTTTAAAAATCTTTTTATAACTTGCTCAAATTGATTTTTTGGAAAATTTATCCAGAACAAAATATTCATTATTTTGCGAGTAGTTCATGCATGCAGCTTCGTTTCTGGATATTTTGAAAATTTGAAATTTTTAGGGGTGACAACCTTTTTTTAACGTGTACACGGTACTATTTTTACTTTGTGGGTTTTAAATCATGTTATGGAAAAATTGTCTAATAAGTAACAAATAATAGCACTCATTGCGATCGCTCATAAACTCAAGTTGTAAATAAATTTCTGGAAAACAAGTCTCCTGTTAAAAAAAACAATGCGTATGTCTTATTGTTTAATTTTGCTTAAAATGGTTGAACTGCCGCTATCATATGGCCGAATAGACCTACGAAGTACCATGTGCTCTTGTGATATGGTATAAGGTTTATTTTTGCTTGAAACAGTTCGAAACCGTTCATGCATAAAAGAAGTTCGCTAATAAATAGTCTTTTGTCAATCCGCCGCCGTATAGCGCCGGCGTTTTTTTCCTTTTGAAAACACTTGTTTTGCTATTCTTACTAATTAGATGTTTTCAGACCGACTACTTTTACATTTGTATAACATTAAATAATATTTAAAATTTGTAAATATCAATGAATGATATACCTTTTTTTTTTCAAATTAAGGTTCTTCATTGTTTGATATTTACAATTGTTATTATTAGGTGAAAATTTAATTTAATATAAACCATTGCGTCTATGGTGATTTAGCTGTACCTACTTATATAAATGATTTTTTTATAACAACAAAAAATAGTACAAAAGGTTTGTAATCGCTTCATAAAAAAAGTCACTTTCTCTCAATTTCAAAGAAAACGCGTAAAAAAACACGTAGTTACCCATTAAAAACAAGTATCCTTCCATTTGTAACTTATGTTTGATGTCAAATAAACTTAATTAGGTCTAAACAAGTTAAAAAAGCATAAAAAAGAACATGTCTGTGGCGTTTGACACGCCCGGCGTGTCATGAAATATTTGTTTGCCGCCACAGCTAAAAGTTGTCGAAAATTGGTGCCGCAACGAATCGGTTAAACTAAACTAAATAATTTAAAGGTGCAAAACTACTTCATCATCAACTACTTGTCGCCCACTGCAGGGCATAATAAAGCAAAGCTACTTACTACTAAGTATTGTGTGTTAACGTAATAATGTAAGACTTGAAATGAAGAGCTGTAATGAATTAATGTAATGTAATGAATGGGTGGACCGGCTCGAACCAAGGAGGTACCACGACCTTACGGACAACCAGCGTGAAGTATAATTTTACTTCACCTTCTAAGTGCAGGTGGTCAGAGGCCTAACCTCTCTTTCCCTTAAAAAGGTAATGTAATTAAATAAGAAAAAGAAACCATCACAGGAGGGTACCAGCACTCCAGGTATTGGAGAATCCCTGGCAGATCATCCACGCCCAAGCTACCCTACTCTTACTTAGCGCGGGTGTTAAGGCTGCCTCGCGTACCCCGGTGGTGAGGGAGGGGGGGGGGGGGAGGAATTCCACACAAGACTAATACTGCGCGCGGCAAGTAGAGCAATAAGATAGAGGTGACCCCTGCCACGCTATAAGTGAATTTCTGCAACATCAAAGGATTTCATTCGAATGTTAACAAAGTCCATCTGTACCATCTGAAGAAGGCGAAGCCGAATTTGCTTTTCTAACCGAGACGCAGGTGTCCTCTCCGGTCGATACTTCTCTCCTATCCGGTGTACAAATTAGAATACCTTTGTGTCTCGGGCTGGAGTTTGCGTATACGTCAGAGAGGAAATCTTTTCTCAACGCCTCGGCAGTCTTGAAAGTCAGCGACGACCATTCTCGCGTCTACGGGTGCCTCTATAGGTAATGCCCACACAGACCAACTCATTGACCTCGTCCAAATTGCTACAGACTCCTTGCTACAACAGACCCCATCTGCAGAGATTGTGATCCTTGGTGATTTTAACGGTCACCACACTGAATGGCTTGCTTCTCGTTTAACCGATCATGCGGGAAGATCTGTTTATGACTGCCTTGGCATATGGTCCCACACAAATGGTTACTTCGCCTACGCGGATTCTGAATGTGGAGGATCTTGCACCTTCCCTGTTGGATCTTCTACTGACCTCTCATCCGGACGGATATCAGGTCTCCGTCGACGCCCCTCTTGGCTCATTGGGCCATTGTCTGATCCGGGCTTTTTTGCATCCTTTCCTTGAGGACAGGGGCGGGTATGCTTCTCGCCAGATGATCCCAACGTGATTTTGTCGCTGATGTGGTACTTCATCTTCGAAATCGAAGATGTAGTACCACATCATCGAAGCTTCCTTCCTATGGGATTCCAGAGGATTTGTGCAACTCGATCAGCAGTTTTCTTGCAGATTGGAGCAACAAAGTCGTAGTAGAAGGTGCATTCTCCATTTACAAGCCTATTTATGGTGGTGTTCCACAAGGCTACGAGCTATTACCGACGCTGTTTCTTCCGCTTATCAATAATTTGTTACAAACTAGTAACGTGCACTGGTGATGCTTTATACACCGACTGTGCCTATATTTCTCTGGAAAACGACGGCGAGTACCACAAACTTGTGTCTGAAGTCGAGTCTTTGCCGGATAAGGACTGGGATTGGGGCGCTAAAAATATTTTAGTTCAATGCCCAAAATACACAAGTTTGCGCTTCTACTACTAAAAAGAACCCCTTTGTTGTAACTTCTCAATTTCAGGGCACTCGCGTTATTACCTCAGCCAGTATCTATATATTTATAAAACAAAAGAAAAGGAAAATTATCAGAATCTTCGGCGTTAACATATCGAATAACGTGCAGTTTCGTGATCACTTGGTAGGGAAGGCTGAATTGGCCTCTAAAATGCTTGGCATGCTCAGCACAGCGGGACAGTATTTTATGCCGGCACACTACTTGCAACTTTACAAGGGGCAGGTTTGACCTAACATGGAATACTGTTCATGAGATCGAAGGAGCTGGTACTAGTGAGCCCCGGCCCAAGGAAGACCCTGGGCTGGGTCTCTCTAGTACTAGCTCCTTCCACTTAGCCGCATCCAGCGCAGAGTGGCTCGAATCGTTGACGACCGACGAAGACGAAAGACAAGACGAAGAGATGTTGCATCCCTTTGCATTTTCTAGCGCATTTACCACGGGGAGATTTCAGAGGAATTGTTCGGATTAATTCCAGCCACAAAATTTCATCAACGAATTTCACAAATCCACATCATCGGGATGTTTGGCAGTCCACTACTGTCGGACCGATACCACTTAGAGACCTTCAAGAAACGAGCTTACTTCTTTTTAAAAAGCCTACAATTCCCCTTATTAGTAGGTGGTGGTCGACACTTGTCATCAGGTGAGCCGCTTGCGCGTTTGTCCCCCTCTTCTATATAAAAAAGACAATGAAACGAAGTAGACAATCATCTTTAACAATGTTATATTTATGTTCTGGTAGTGTGAGTAATTTTTGTGATTTCAGTTCGTGCCGTTCGCGTTTAGGGCCAAAACGTTAAAACTTGAAAATTCTTCATACAACTAGGATAGTACATAATTTTTCGAACGTCGTTTTTGGAGGCCGAGAGGCCCCTTTAGCTTGGGGGCCCCGGGGCACTGCCCCGCCTAGCCCCTGGGTAGCTACGCCACTGACGTTGAAAGAGCGGAATATATTTAACAAGATATCAAAATCGACTCTGTTAAACGCATTGCTGAAATCTAACAAAGTTAGTATTGTCAATTTTTAACTTTCAATACCATAATGAATGTCATCAGTAATTTGTAAAAGTGCTGTAGTCGTACTATGACCAGGGTTGAAACCGGATTGCAAGGGATTAAGGCGGTTTTCTACCCGTAGATAAGAGCTTAGTTGCTTGAACACCAGACGTTCTAACTAGTGTCCGACCGAAACAGGATTTTCATCCGAAACCGAAAACGAATCTTCGGTCTGGGTGTCAGTTTCGGCCGAAACCGAAACTTATTTAGACATGTTAATTTTTTTTATTGTATACTGAAATCTGGTATATTATGTAAGTATTTTTATACATATACAAATAGGTGAAGCATGTTAATAAAAAACAGTAATTGTAGTTGTCATGTAGCAATATATTTATTTATTTTAAAGTAAAAATCAACAATTTAACGTTAAGAAATACTTTTTTAAGTCAATTTTGTAAAAAAAAAAAACACCATAAAAAGTTACTCGGTGATTGAGAACATATTTTATTGTGTTCACAATATTGTTAATATTATTTAATGAGAGCAAAAGAGCATTAACTTAATACATCACTCTCGCACACTTACACATAACAAAATCCAAGAAAATATACAAAACCTGCTCATAGTTCAAAAACTAATAAACTAAGTTTGTATAAAAAGGGTTATTATAATATAAGGAATTTATGGATGATAATAACCCCTGGGAGTGAGGTGATAACCGTGGCCGTGGGCGAAGTGGGCCCTCGCCCACGGCCTCGCACTTAAAAGGGCCTCGCGAGGCCCCCTAAAATGCGATGGCCCCAGACTTCACCACAGATGACTTATTAATTTGATCACTTTTACACTCGAAAAAGAAAGTCACAAATTTAAGTGTGTTTGTTTGGGGCCTCGCAAGAAGCCCCTCTTAAGTGCGACTGCGAGGCCGTTGTATTTACCTTCAAAGACCGCGACTGTTACATTGACGGAATGCGAGACTTATCAGGATTTAATAGATATGAGTAGGTATGTCATGTTAAAGCATGTTTGGTAGGATAGATCTATTGGGTAGATCCTTGGAACGAAAGAAAAGGGGCCTCGCTGATGCAACTTCACCCAGGTTTATATTAGTCCACGCTATGCCTCTGATTGGAAGCTGTTATTAAAAAAAAGTCCCGCTGGGTTTCTTGCTGGTTCTTCCAAGGGCAAAGGTTTTTTTCGAACCAGTGGTAATTAAACAAAAGAGTGACTTTCAATAAGTATTACTTATAATCTATATTGAATAAAAAAGTATCTGTTTCTATATAGTAATCAATAATACACCAGTCACGAACTCATCCGAACGACGCACGATAATCCACGAACACTGAGTTTCGGCGCTACCAAAGGTTCGGCAGATTTTTTGCCGAAACCGAAACCGAATCTTCGGTCGGTCACTAGTTCTGACATTAGATAAGAAAGGAAGTAACGAAATTGGCCGGTAATCTGAAAAACATTTCGGATTGGTCTTTTTAGGAAGAGAAATAGCGTTGCCTTCTTTCCAAACAAAGGGAAAAGTAGCAGTTTTCACAGAATTGTTTAAGATGGAAGTAATTACAGGGATAAGAAGATCCAGGAGATGAATGATCATTTTACAACTAATACAGTCACCGCCTATTGAATTCGGAAAGGAAGTAAAGAAATTAGCCGGTAATCTGAAAAACATTTCGGATTGGTCTTTTTAGAAAGAGGAATAAAGTTGGATTCTTTCCAAGCACAGGGAAAAGAAGCAGTTTTCACAGATTTGTTTAAGATGGAAGTAATTACAGACATCCAGGAGAGGAATGATCATTTTACGACTAATACAGTCTACGCCTAGTGAACCGGAGACCCTTTGAACTGGAAACGAGGCATTCAATCTTAGTCCTCATGAGTGACAATGCATCTGCATTTTGATTCGTAATCAAGGATAAATGTAGATGTCTATGGGCCACAGTAACCACTTACCGTCAGGTGGACTGTGTGCTCGTTTGTCACCCTTATCCTATAAAAAAAACGATGTTGCAATGATTCCGTATCAATCTATATTTCTCTTTATTTGCATCACTAGGATCTGACTTGTATTTTGCTTTAACTTGATTTTTCTTATCAATCGTTTGTTTTATTTCGTCATTCAACGATAGAGATGGAGGATGCTTAACACGCACTGGTCGAATAGTAGCATGATTATCATATAACTGAATTAAAAAGGAATTTAATAAAGGCTACATATTCGTCGACAGTAGGATATTTGTAATAAAACAAGAAACTTATTGCTGTCTAGGTTTATTTATTCCATTTTTGTGCTTTTCAACAAAATTCACTTTTTTTACGTTTGATTTCTTTTGAATAAGTTAAAGTAACAATCATAGGCAAATTTTAAAAAAATAATTTAAGCAAAATAATATTATGCTTCTCAGTTCTCCATTGACTCTTTATTTTTTTGTTCTAAAGTTTCAAAAACGTCTTTATTAGAACACTGATAATTTTCAACACTTTCGTTGGAACTAATTACATTTGAATGTATACTTTTTTTAAATATAAACTGAAAGTAATAATTATTATTAATTTTAAAGTAATAAGACAACGAATGTTATTTAAAAGTTTTATGTACTATTGTTGAAAAATGTATTTGTATAACTACATACAAATGCAATAAATTTACTTTGAATAAAATTATAAAAGACGCATAATGTAGGGCTTGTACACAAAACTGCGATGCGCCGTCGCATCGTAAAAATTTGCGAGCTTCCTCGACGCATCACAAGAACTTACGAATTGATTCGCATCGCGCATTCCTGCGATGTTACGTCACACTTGTTGACTCCATTTTTAGTTCGCTCTGAGACAGCGTGTGGGTAAGACGTATACTTTAAAGTAAAAAAATGATAGAGTACGACGTTGATTCTGTATCTCCTTAGCAAAAACAAGAGGGCACACTTCTTTTTATGATCCATGTCACGTCCTAGTTTTCAAAATACGTTCAGTACTATAGAATGGTCACCCTAATCGTGGAAGGAAGACGCCTTGTCGCACGAACTCACAACCAGCAATTCGTGTCGCAATTTTCTGCGTTGCGAATTCGCATCGCAGTTTTGTGTACAAGTCCATAATAATTCAAAACTCGTCCACAACATACCTTACAAAGTAATGGGTTTTCATACAACCATACACAAATTACAGAAAAAACAGTTACAGTTAATGAAACTAACAAATAAACTGAAGTATATTTGTAAGCATTTAGAAAAATGTCGTATCCACAATAATTATTGAACATATTTCGCATTTTTCAATATGAATTTATTGTGCTAATTTTTGTGTACATAATACATACTATCATAGATAAATATTTTTTTATAACTGGCTTTACGGCTCCGGGTTCTAGCCCTTTTGAGCCTAAAGTTACAAAGTATATTTATCCTTCATAGTACACTGCTTCATAATATGTTGATGCGTCACATTGTGCAGCCCTTGAGAGATTTTGACGGCAACTTGAGCCAGCAGACAGCTGACAGTTGGTGATGGTATCTCAAGGTGCCTAAGCAGACAGACACCTTATCTTGGGAATCAAATCACCATCAGAACACTTGTTTCACCGTTTCCACTAATAGCTCACATGTGCAGTCACTTAATACACAAAATCGCACCACTTTTACATATCAAAATCCACTCCAAACCATTATTTAAACAATAATACAGGAGCTGCAAAGCACCGCCGGTCAAGTTCCCATCAAAACTCCCATCATAGATTTTTTTTATAGGAGAGGGATAAACTAGCTTGCTCACCTGTTGGAAAGTGACTACCGCCGCCCATGAACCACTGCAACACCAGGGGAATTGCAGATGCGTTGGCGGCTTTTTAAAAAGGAGTAGGCTCTTTTCTTGAAGGTCCCTAAGCCGTATCGGTCCGGAAAAATCGCTGGTGGTAATCGATTCCACAACGAAGTTGTGCGAGGAAGAAAATTTCTTCTAAATCACACAGTGGTGAACCGCCAATCATCCAGATGGTATGAATGGTATCTCAAGTTTTGTCGCTATGTGCGATCGTGAAATTGAGCGGCTGCAATTAGTCCGAACAATTCCTCAGAGCATTCCCCGTGATAGATGCGATATAATACGCAGAGATGCAACATCTCTTCGCAGTGCCAATGAGTCAAGCCGATCGGAAAGAACTCGGTCATTGACGATTCGAGCCCTTCTGCGCTGGATGCGGTCAAGTGGAAAGAGCTGGCACTGGGGGGCCCTTGGCCCAGAGATGGGAACAGTGTTCCATGTGAGGCCGAACCTGCCCCTTCTAAAATTGCAAGCGGTGTACCGGCATGAAATACTGTCCTGCTCTGCTGAGCACGCCAAGCTTTTTAGAGGCCAATTTCGCCTTCTCTTCCAAATGACCACGAAACTGCACTTACTCGATATGTCGACACCTAGGATTCCGATACTGGCAGAGGCAACAAGGGGAGTGCCTTGGAAATGAGGAGATACGACAAAGAGGTTCTTTTTAGCAGTAAACGTGAACACTTGTGTCTTCTGGGGACTGAATTGGACTAGATTTAGTCGCCCCCAGTCTGAGACTTCGTTCAACAAATTCTCGACTTCAGACACAATTTGTTCCGGTACTCAGCGACGTTTTCCCGAGAAATATTGGCACGGCCGGTGTATAAAGCATCACCAGTGCTATCGTCTGCATAGCAATGAATGTTACCGGTTTGCAACATATCATTGATATGCAAAAGAAACAGCGTTGGTGATAGTACGCAGCCTTGTGGGACAGCAGCGTTAATGGGCTTGTAATCGGAGCATGCACCGTCTACTACGACCTTGATGCTCCAATCTGCAAGAGAACTGGTGATCCAATTGCACAATTTCTCCGGAAGCCCATAGGAAGAGGCCTTCGCTATGTCCAAACTAACGGCCAACGTCTCCCTTGAATTCCACTGCCTCCTCCCATCTATGAGTTAGGTAACCTAGAAGATCACCAGCTAAGTGACCTCGACGGAAACCGTACATGCGGTCACTAATCAGCCGGTGATCTTCAAGGTACCGCAGGAGCGGGCAGTTAATAATAGTTTCCATTACTTTGGAGAACAAGGAGTTGATAGCGATAGGCCTGTAATTGGACGGATCTGAGCGGTCGCCTTTTTTAGGGATCGGGTGCACTAAAGCCGTCTTCCATGAGTTCGGGACTGCGCCTAAGGAGTAGGAGTATCGGAAATCCCCCTAACGGGTTCCCGCCTTGTCGTGGCGGGGGGTGGGGGGGGGCTTGGTAGTCGTGGCTTGGTCACCCGCGGTGAACTAAGAGGAACCCCTTGGCTGGCCCGTGGTGTAGGGCCGGCCCAAGGTGGCCACTCCGAGTGGACTTGGCGAGCCCACTTCGGATGTGTGTCGGTGGGCTGCAGTGAGAGGGGTGTACTCTCCCCTCTCCCTCTAACGCTGCAGCAGAGGTGGAGTCGCGGAGGAAGAGGGGTGTTGGTATGGCGATCTTCCGCGACTCTGACGGGGCCGCACCGTTGATGCAGTGGTGGTGGGGCCGCGGGAGGAGAAGAGTGTCGGTATTGCGAGGCGCCGCTCTCCCTACCCTCTGCGGCCGAAACTTGGTTGGTGATGGAGCTAGAGACCAGATCCGCCGCTGGAGTCGGGAAACTAACTACTAAGCGCCTAGGAAAAGGGCCCATGGCCTCCGCGTATCAGTCTCGGGGGGGGGGGGGCGGTTCGATACGCATGTGGAGTTGGAGGCCTTGGGGGGAGGGGAGTGGCGTTCCTTTTGTTCCTGGTGCGCCTTGCCTGAGAAGGAGAATGCGGAGGAAAGGTCCTCCCCCGAGAAGGGGCTGCCATGGGGCGGCCAGCGCTGGTGGGGCCACGGAAGTGTGCGAAAGCGTTCCCATGGTCCTGCCAACTTGCGGTGAAGGTGGAACACCATGGGGTTTTAGTCGGTGCGAGTCTGACATAACCCGTCCTTGCCCCCACGAGGCGGGTATACGTAGGCATTTACCCATGTAAAAAAAAGGAATATTGGAAAAGACGCGTTAAAACCGGTGCTGACTCCGGAGCACACGTCTTCAGCACAATAGATGGGATTCCATCAGGCCCACTCGACTTTTGACGTCCAGGGAGAGGAGTGCTTTACGCACTGAGCGCTGTGTAAACAGCACTTCCTGCATGGAGCACTCACACCGCGGTATGGTCGGCGGTGTGTTCCCCCTGTCATATAGAGTCGAGTTGAAGGAAAATGTGAGCCTAGCAGATCGGCTTTCTCCTTTGCGTCATGGGCCAGTGAGTCGTCCACCCTGTGCAGAGATGGCTGACAGAAGTTCCCTTGGACAGCCTTGGCGAGAGACCAGAATGCACATGTTCACGAAGGGAGGTGAACTAGTTTAGATAGATAAATAAATATCACAGACTACTAAGAGGATACTAATAAATGTACAGCAAGCAACTATACAATATGTAACAAAAACCCTGTGGTTCCCGTTAAGTACGTTATTAGGATTATTATTCAAACGTATAGAAATAACTTTTTTTTAAAAAAAGAAATAACTCGAACAATATATTTTTTTAATTTTATTAAATAAAATTGTATTCAAATTGTATTTAGTTTTATTATCTCTGCATTGTCTGGGGGAGTAAGAGGATTGTCTAAGACCCCGCTTTACTTAGCTTTAGCATCGGATAGTGTCAGTAAGAGGTAATAAAACCACATAAAATTTAAAAAAAATTATTAAAATTTAAAAAAAATATGGTCGAATTAAAAAAAAAGTTATTTGTATAGGTTTGAATACTGACCATGATAACGTACTTAACGAGAACCACAGGGTTTTTGTTACATGTTGTATAGTATATTCATAGCATCACGTACAATATTTATAGTATCACGTTATTTCCCCTAAGGGGTTGAGCGGAGCCTCGGATTATATACCCAAGTCACAATGACAAAACTTTTAATGTAGTTAGATATAGATATTTAGTAATGCTCCTGAAGCGCCGCTAGATGCCCGCGCATGAGACGCGTAGTTCAGTTTGCCAGGATAGTATAAATTCTATAGTATTTGATACTCACAATGCCCAATGCCCGATTTATGCTTAGTAACTGACGACAGTGTGGCGAGGGCTAAATATCGTGGTTCATTGCCTACGGCGTTATGCGTAGAGGAGAGGAACTTATGGTTTATTAACAGCTGCGCGGATCAATAGTTCTGCCAGATTAAGTTGCGCTTGTCACATTCAGTCCATGGATGGATCACCGTTTTCTTAACATACCGAGACTGAGAGAATAGACAGTACATCTATATCCTCAGATACCTGGTACACTTTCATATCTCCTGTGTATTTGTCTAGTCTGTGTAATATCATTATGTTTTTAAATTCATGCAGATAATATGATAATAAGTTTGTTATTTTTCAGGGACCGATGAAAGAAAGAGAGAGTAGCCTCATAAATATATTGACCTTTAAACGGAGCTAAGTTTAACTGATTCCTACAAGTTTCCTTACTTATATTATTAAGTTTGAATGCATATATAAGTCGAATGTTAAAATTAATTTTATAATGTATATGTATTTAATTATTAATTATTAAATTTTTGTAATTATTATAATAATAGTTATATGAAAAATAAAGCAGCCACTATGTATTCCGTGTCCCCGTTTTTTATTTCAACAGCAAAATATTTTATAAAGTATATAAAGTACAAATAGGTTTTTACTTAATTAAGTATCTACCTATTTATAGTTGATTAACGTTATGTCAAAAAAAATCTGGGGAAACTGTTCATGGCAGTAAAGTTTTCTCTAAAGGTCATACATAATTTGAAAATACAACTTTCCGATCTGATTCTTGGAGGAAATTGTTTAAGTTTATCGGTAGACACCTCTTCAAAGATTATTGGGAATTTGTACATTTTGAATTAAAATACAACAAAAGGCAGGTAAGTGCAGCTTATTCCCGGGAACATGTTATTTGAATATTTTTAATTATTTTAGAACTATCAAGGTAAAAATTTTATCAAGGTAAAAATTTTAAACTATCAAGGTTTTTCAGTATCGTACACTAAACCATATTTTTTTAATTTTTTACCGCTTCCTTATCAATAATTTTTCGATAGTCCTTGTAAGTAAAATGCTCATCACTGGGTAACGCACACAATGACCAATCAAAACTGGTTACACATTTTCAGGCTCTTAGGTCGTCTACGCCAGTTTATTCCAAGTACGCCAGTTTATTCTAAGTCTATGGACAGAATATACTGGTTACTAGCGTATAAGTTTATGGTATATTGTAATTCTGACTTT